TTTTAAACTATTTTAGTATACTTTCCTCAAAATTCAATACAGTAGGTAGTTTTCTACCTTTCTGGTGCCTTTTGAGGGTATTTTCCTTTTAATCAAATATAGCAATCAGCTGACTGATGATGGTTATTGTTGCTTGTCCTGCAGGTTATCGTCGTGCCTTCTACAACCTTCTCGATTTTATGTAGAGAAGCCTTTTTTTTGCCCTTTGGTTTAAATTTTCCTTGTTATATTGTCTATTTTTCTAGTTAATATTTATTAATGATTTTCATGATTAATATTTTGTTTTCATGTTGCGTTCATTTTTACTGGTTTGTGGTGGGACAAGAGGGGTGTCATCGAGGTTTTTGTATCATTGATCTAAACGTTAGTAGTAATATAATGCCCAGTTTGGTGTCTAGTATTTTTCACTTTTTTCTTTTTTTTATTTTCTCCAGTTTTTTGGATGTAATTCAGAACATCATCTCAACATATGTTTTTTGGAATTTGAGTTTGTGTCCTTATCCTTAGAGGATGAGACTACTTATTATCCTAATCAACTGTTCATTGGTTTTTTTTTTTCTTCCACTAGATGTACTCATTAATGGATTCAAAGGGATCTTTGCTGTGAAGCTATTCTTGCTAGCATTTAGTATTTCAAATTATTTTTTTTCATAATTGATGTGATGTTATCTTTAAATTTAAAAGAATACTAGAATGCTGTGTCTCTAGTTTAACCATATAGTGTGGGGCTATACCCATTTGAGCTGACCCAAATATCCCTTTCAGTTTTATATATAATCAACGCCTAGTCAAATTGTGGAGGTTAAAATGTTAGCTTACTTTAAAATATTAAATGTGCAAGAGATATAATTTTATTAAAAAAAATATATCATTATTTATGAAGGTGTTGAGTGAGAGAAAAATGAGTGGCAAAATATATATGAGAGAATGAGTAGGAAAAAGAGATAAGCAGTGTAAAAAAAACCGGACTGGACCGGCCGGTTCAACCGGTAAACCGGTCAGTGGTCCGGTCCGGTTCATAAGCTAAACCGGGGACCGGTTCAAACCGGATTGAACCGGTCAAACCGGTGTGAACCGGTGAAAACCGGTAAAAACCGGTATGAACCGGTATTGAACCAGTTTAAATAAATATATTGATATTTATTCTATTTTTTCTCATTTAACTCCTAATATCTCAATTATTATAGATTTAAATGAATTTTGATGATGAGTTTGGCATCAATAACTATTAATTTTAGTTATTGAAAAAATTATAAAGATCAAAATTCTCAATATTGTTGTACTTTATTATTATTACAATCAAATTCTTATTGTATTTCTTTATATTTTGTTATTAGTAATTATTATTATTGTTATATTTTGTCATTTTTAATTAAATTAAATTATTTTAATATGACCGGTTTGATCCCGAGTTGACCCCGATCTGACCCATTAACCCTTGAACCACTACCTCAACCGGTTTAGTGTCCGGTCCGGTTTTTTGTTCCTTGGAGATAAGAGAAGCATAGAACTAATTGGGAGTACAAATGAAAAAAGTGTATTAAATTTTGTGAAGTAGCATTTATCATTTAGAAGTGAATTGCAATACTCTCGTCTTTGGTGTGAGATGTCCAATTTGCATGATTATTTTTTAGTTAAAAATATTATTTCCTGTTCTAATTATAAGACTTTCTACAAATCTTGTAATTAGGATTTGAGGTAGTAATTTTTTTTGGAGGTACACCTAGCATCGTAAATTATTTTTGGAGGTGCAGTGAACACTTTAAGATATTTAGTGGTACAATTTTATCCCTAATATATTAAAAATGGTGCAATTCACACTCTAAACTAACGGAATCATTATCTATCTCATTGTGATTGTTATTGTTTATTATTTTCATCATGCTAGAGTCGTGACTTTGAGCCACCATTATTCTCTTTCACTGAAACAGAAATATGACAAGCGACATGAGAAGAAAGAGGGTTCATTATCTTCCTCCTTGAGAGAGAAAGGACGAGTTGAACCAATGAACTCCATATAGACGTTTGAACCAGAGGAGGGGGAGTTCTACTGGACACTATTTATCATCTTCTCCGTGGGAGGACCAAAGGTGCCATTGGGAATTGAAGCAAAGGAGGAGTTTGGATGCTAATGAAGGGGAAGAAGTAAAGAGATAAAGGAAGTGAAGAGGATCAGAGTTAGAAAAGAGCTTCAAAAAGTTTTATTTTTCTTGATTTGCTTATCTAAAAACTATTAGACTGAACATAAATTAAGTAATTAAACTAGAATCAACCTTAACTTGTTCATAGATATGATGACTTACGTGGCCAATGACCAAGGAACAAGCAGAGGAGGGCCACGGCTCTGTTGATGTTTGAATTGGGTTGGAAAGCTTATAGGAAGGGTTATGTATGGACGTTCTATAGAGTTTCTTAAAGGCGGACTTACGATTATTCCTAGACCTCCATTGTTAGGGGGTGATGTTAGTTGATTGTTGCTTATAATGCTCTTTACTTTATGAGCAAAACAAAGTGAGTTGTGCTTTTTGATTTTTTTGTGGGAAATTTCATTATGTAGAGGCTTACCATGGTTTATAAGGCCAGTAAATGACATGTAGATTGCATAGCTTTGTACCAGCAATTAGAGAAGAAACTCATTCGTTAGTGATTAGGATGGTCTTCTTTAGGCTGAAGTCGCGTGTCAAACGATAAACAGTAGCACTTGGCATGAGAGATAACGGAGGTTAATATTCTGTTAACTTGGGTCAAAATTACTCCATTTTTATTATTTTAGAGACTTTTTTAGGGTGTTAAATGTACTTTCAAAAATAGTTTAGAATATTAGGTGCATCTTAATTTTTTTTTTTAAAGGAAAAAACGTACTTATCCAAGTCTGAAAATCAACTTTTTGGTTAAGCCTAATCCTAAAATTCAAACCGGGTCAAAAAAAAATCCTAAAATTCATCGGGCTTCTTCAGGCTTGGCTTGCATTGCCTCAATCCCCTGATCTATGAAGCATACAACCGATGACAAACTGCAGACTGTAGTACCCAGTAACCAAAAAAAGAAGGGGAAGAAAAGAACAGTTTTTTTCCCGATCCCTTTAATTTAATCTCGTCTTCACCTCGTTTAAAACGTGCAGGCGGACAATCCAGCTGATCATCGTATATAGAGCAGAAGATCCTGCTTCCCAAATCGACGACGAAGTGAAAACTGAGAAATTGTCACTTTCTCGGGAATGTAATTTTTTTTCTTGTTCTTTAACTGTGTCATGGATCCAGAACAGACGTTTATCCGTGTGCAGGAGAGGTTTTCGCAGATGTTGACCCCGAAAGTTAGAGCCGCTATGGAGTATTTAAGCCTGTTCGGAGCCATCACCTTATTCTGTATTCTCGTAGTTATGCACGCCAATTACGTTCAGCAGGTACCCAATTGTGCCTTCTCAGTTCTCACTCTCAATTTGAGTTTTATGTTGCTCTTTTAGGGCTGTTGAATTTCGAATCTTTGGCCATGATTCCGTGTGCTTTGATAGTGCGCTAGTTACTTGATAGGTTTCATCAACTTGAAAGCTCTTTCCTTCATTTTCTTTTGTCTACGAATGCTTAGGACGAGTGCCGGAAAGAAGAGAAACAATAAATGAGTTTGTTCTAATTTTGAACACCATATATTGCTCTCAATGCTATAGCTTCCAAAGACTGGATGAATGTCTGCCTGTGGAGGAGCTTGGTTTGTGGGTGTGTGGTGAATAAGAACATGAAAAATTTAGTTGTGTTTCTGGTTTATATGTAGTCCAACAGTGTTGGATCAGAGATTTCTTTCACTACACATCTTTGAAGGAGAGTTATTCTTAAATCCTATTGTTGGTTTCCATTATGTTTTCTTTAGGGAGGGTCCCTTGTGGATTACCCTTGGGACTTGAAGGCCTTTTTGAACTGGAATATGAGACGTTTTCTTTTGGTTGAGGACGATCTATTGTGCTTAGTCTTTGTACCTTTTTGTATTATGTACTCTACTTATCAACAAATCCTTTTTCTATCTACAAGGATGACAAATATAATGATTTCATGACAATAATGAGATTCTTTAAATTAAAGTGCATTTTATGGATTGAGGAAAAGTGTTTAAATCTTTACCGAGGGGAAGCACTCTCTGATGTGAATTTTTTGAGTCATGGGTAAAGTTAACTTTCTTGGAGTCTCTATTGGTGAAGTAATATCGGCTATGGTCTACAAAGAACTTTGCTGAACTTGATGTCTGAGAAGAAGTTGCTTACAATTCTCTCTTGCTTATAATTCTCTCTATTATTTGGAAGAGAATCATATCATTATAATAATTTTGGAAAAGTCCATGTTTGATGCTCTTCCAATTATAAAAGCCGCCTTGTTCACAGTGCATTCAAACTTTTTATTGCCAGTAGTTCTAATGGATTTAAATAAAACATGATATTAAAACTATTCAATTTGATAGTGGAAGATTCACACTGGACAATTGTCATGAAGTTTTGATTTCATGCATATTGGTGAATGTGTTAGGAGGAAGATTCAAGAAAGAGGAAGCGAAAATGACTTCCTTGTTATTAGTACGTTTGCTCATGGTAATTGTGGCTTCTTGGGAGAATTGACTACTGCATCAAATATGCACTTGTTACTAATAGTAATTGGTTAGTATACATAACTTTGGACTATGAAACAAAGGAATATCTGATACCTAAACTGAGGTATGGATGGCAATTCTCAGATGTTGCATAGAAGAATAGGATACAATGAGATATAATGTAATAGAAACAAAGACATTAGGAATGAGTTATCTTCTATTAATGGTCAAAGTAAACCCTTCCATCCTGAACCAAAGAATTGATCAAATCTCTGCTAATACAATTCAAACCTATGACTATTCGATTATAAACGAACCTCCACTGCTGAACTATTGAGGAACAACAGGAAATTAGATCTGATAGAGGTCAATTCCCATTATTGACCTGTGACCAATATGGGCTTGAAGTTTCGGTCATAACTCACAAATTCTTTGCAGTGGCTCTGTTCCATGCCTCTTTGATAGTTATTTCCAAGTATTCAGTCGGTTAACTATATCTAACTACCTGAGATATAGATAGCAACATAGCAGCTGGAAGAAGTATGTTATAATCTGATTGACTTCATTTTCCTTCATGCTTCTTGCTCCATGTCTCTTGTATTCTCTTTCTCTTACCAATCAATAAGTAAATAACTAAGCAATTACTTGCTTCCAATGCCGTCTAGAGCTATGCTTTTCCTTTCATTTGATCTTCTAACAATCCTTGTTTGACTCAATCTTTTCCTTTCATATTAGTACTTAATTCCTCAATTTCGTATGCTACTATCCTTTCTAATTTAATTGTGTTTTCTTATTTGACTTTAATTTTGGTTTTTTATAAGGCTAATAAGTTCTTTTCTTTGTTAAGCCGGGCTGTTCAAGTGAGCTCACGGGTGTTGTGACATCAGAGGCCCAACTTATTCAAATTAAGGTACATGGTACTTTTTTTTTTTTTTTTAAAATATACCCTTTCGAATTAAGATTTTTTGTAAATAAATAGATGATGCTTGAAAGAATAAAGAGATAGAAATTTTGTATCCGTTAGGAATGAGGTTTAAACAATACTTCAAAGGCAAATTAGATAATTGTGTATGTGGGAAGTTGCTGAAATTTGTTATTTTTTTTTTTTAAATCTGTTATTTCTTTCCCTGTTATTTATGTTTTGTTATATTTTATAAACTATGCTTTAATGGCTTATATTTCTGTTTAGATTAGATTGGATTTTAGAAATATTTCCCCAGCATTTTGGTTACATTAACCATGCCTATTGCCTAAAATTTTTATTTAACTTTGGTGAGGAATGAATAAAGTGGTTCTTAGGGATAGCTAACTTCAGTTTGAGTAACAGTTGCATAACTATCAACATTATCATATTGCAGTATTTTGGATATTAATATGTAATAGGACCTCATCTGACGCAACTAGGGAAACTGTATTGTTATTTGAGTGGGGAATTTCCCTCTTAGGGTGGATATTACAACACTTAGACACAGTTGCTGGTATACATGTCAAAATAGGTCTCAAAGTGGTGATTGGCACTAGTTACTGAATATTCACAGAAGCAAAACAAGAAGAAAAGATAAACACTACCTTTCAAGATTCTTTCTTTCTAAAAGCCATACCCCTTATTTCCTCTTCCTTACCTCTTATAAGTTTCTGAAAGCTTTTTTTTTTTTTATTTTTTTAAATATTGCCGCTTCTGCTATGTATCAGAGTTTAACCATTTTTGTGTCCTTTTGATTCTTTAGTGATCTTTGCTAAGATTTAGCTATCAAAAAGACATCTAAGCATAAATTGTTATAGATTACAAACACAGCAAGGTTTAAAATTGTGATTAATAGCAAATCTGAGCATACGTTTTTATTATCTTGCATATGGGATATAATTCTAGCATGTTTATTTTGTTTGACTGGACTGCTACACTTTATACTCCCAAAAATCTCTCTTGTAGATAACTAGTGTGGGCTTGTGGTCGCATAATGAATCTGATTCAACCAGAACAGATGCCCCTGACACACCAACTGTAGCAGATAAAATAGAGGTTTCTGATGTGGATGGAGATGGAGTGGCATTTTTGGCTGCAAAGTTTTGGTTGAATTGGGTTGGTTCAGCTCCTTGGAGGGGAAAATCAGTGTTCAAGTTTTGGAAGACTGATACAGAGTTTCTTGATCATCAAGCTGAAATGTCTATTGGTAGTCAAAACTCCAAGGCGGTGGTTGGAGATGCTGTGGTCAAAGTTGATAAAGAGGAGTCACGAAATAGTTTTTCTTTATCAGCCAAAGAGACATTGAAAGCAGCAATTATGCACTTTGGTAAGAAGTGGTATAAGCGCATCTCATTTGTTTGGAAGCTCTTGATAAAGATACTTGGAAGTTTCCAGAAACTTTGGGTAAGTATTCGGTGAAAATATAGTTTTCCTTGTAGATAGATTGGATTTGGACCATATGCCTATATATGATGCTTTCCAGCTGGAATTTATAAAATTTAGTGATCGAATTTACTCAAAAATTTCTGCTGAAGTTTGAATTGTGAGTGCAGAATATTGCTGGTGTACACTTAGATCTTGATATTCCTAAATGGATGGTTATCCTTCACTTGGACAAGCTTAGCTCTAGTGCAGGTAAATACATTTGTATGATGATATGCTGGTCTTCTTACGTCTCTTTAAACAAAATTTATTTACCATATTTTTTATAAGAAAAGTTTGCGGGAAAAGAATGATGAAACATGAAAGTTTTTTGGGGCTTGGTACTTTTAATCGATATTTATATCACATAATCACTTCTAGTATTTGCATTATGTATATATTCCTAATGAATGATTCTTCCGCTCCTTTTCCTGGTTCTACATAGTTCAATTGTGATGGAAATGACTCCGGTGATTTGTATTATTTACTGAAGAAAGTAACAATCCACAGGGTATAACCTAATGGATAGCACCCAGAAGGAAACCTGTAGCCTAGTGCATTCGAGAGCACCACACTCCTCTCAACATTCTCACCATTTGCATGCCCTCCTCAACGACCTCTCTGACAACAAATACCCCACGTAACTAACTCCTAATTCACCTTTCCCCAATTACCCTCAGCTACGCACTTAACCCACTATCACATATTGGGCTTTTTCCTTACATATGTATACAACGGCCCGGGTTCAACAATACCCCCCCCCACGAAGCGAAGCCTTGTCCTCAAGGCGGAACCGAGGGAACTGTTGTTTAATGACATCATAATTTTCCCATGTGCTCTCCGTAGCTGGTAAATCTGTCCACTGAATGAGAAGTTCAATCTGACCGTCAGTCAACGTACGATGCTTCAAAACCGCCGCAGGATACACTCGAAGCTCCATATCAGCGGTCAAGGTTGGCGGAAGTGGCTGTGCAGCGAGACCGATTGTCAGAGATTTCTTGAGGCAAGAAACATGGAAGACCGGATGGATTCGGGAAGTGTCCGGAAGTTGCAGGCGATAAGCGGCGGGTCCTATGCGTTCCAGAATGGGAAAAGGGCCATAAAAACGGGGACTTAATTTTTCATTCGGCCGTCGTGCTAGAGATTTATGGCGGTACGGTTGGAGCTTGACAAACACTTGATCTCCGACACTGAAATGCAGATCCCGACGCTTCTTATCAGCTTGAACCTTCATGTACTGCTGTGATCGTTCCAGGTTAGACTTGAGTTCAGCTAAAATGGAGTTCCTGGTGCGTATCTGCTCATTGACCGCATCAACCGGGGTAGACGGTTCCTGAAACTGATACAGAATAGGCGGGTCCTGACCATATAATGCTCTGAATGGTGACATCCCAGTAGAGCGGTTATAGGAGGTATTGAACCAAAACTCAGCCCAACAGATCCATTTAGACCAGGTGGATGGCTTACTAGAACAAAAGCATCGGAGATAAGTTTCAAGACTTCGGTTAACCACCTCTGTCTGACCATCACTTTGAGGATGATAACTCGAACTAAATTTTAAAGAAGTACCAGCAGCTTTGAATAATTCCTTCCAAAAATTACTGAGGAAAAGCTGGTCTCGATCTGACACAATGGAACGGGGAAAGCCATGTAAACGTACTATCTCCTTAACAAATATAGCGGCCACATCCCGAGCTGTGTATGGATGGAGCAAAGTCAGAAAGTGGGCATACTTGGTAAAACGATCCACTACCACCAGTATGGTATCCACGTGCTAGGACTTAGGAAGGCCGGAAACAAAGTCCATAGAGATGTCTGTCCAAACTCTATCGGGTATAGGAAGTGGTTGCAGCAAACCAGCCGGACTGACTGCCGAATATTTATTACGCTAGCACACCTCACAGGCAGCCACATATTTTTGAATATCCCTGCGCATACCATCCCAATAGAAAAGGGTCGCCAACCGTTTATAGGTTCGTAAATATCCCGAGTGACCACCAATCGGTGAATTGTGGAAGTCATGCACCAGCGAAGGGATGCGAGCAGAGGATTTGGGAAGCACCAGCCGTCCATTGAAGAACAGGTGCCCTCCTTTGAGTGTATACCCCACCGGAGCGGTTTGTCCGGTGGCTAACAATTGAATAATGGCAGCCAAGGAAGGATTATGTCGAACCTCATCATCCCAGGAAGTAAAATCGCCCGACTGTGCCACTGACAGAGAATGGAGTTCGAGAGACTCCCCTTTACGTGATAAGGCATCAGCGACAGCATTAGTGGGGCTCGGCTTATACTGAATTTGGAAATCAAAACCGAGTAACTTGGAGACCCAACTCTGCTGAGACTCATCCAAGATACGCTGATCCAGTAAAAATTTGAGGGCTTTCTGATCGGTGCGGATAATGAACGGACGACCCACCAGATAATACCGCCATTTTCGCACTGCAAACACCATGGCCATTAACTCCCGCTCATAAACTGAACACCGGCGGTGCCGCGATGATAAGGAATGGCTATAATAAGCCAGAGGTCGGTTAGCCTGCAATAGAACCGCTCCCAACCCTGTCCCGGATGCATCTGTCTCGACCACAAATGGTTGAGAAAAATCAGGCAGAGATAAAACAGGGGTAGTGGTCATGGCGACTTTAAGTCGTTCAAAAGCCTCCTGAGCCTCTGGTGTCCATAAAAAGGCGTTCTTCTTCAATAAGGCAGTCAGTGGGGCCGCTATGAGACCATAATGTCGAACAAAGCACCGGTAGTAACCTGTGAGTCCCAAAAATCCCCTTAAACTCTTCAGTGTGGTCGGTACAGGCCAGGACAACATGCTGTCAATCTTAGAAGGATCAGCGTGAACACCCTTGCTTGATATAATGTGACCCAAATATTCCAGTTGAGACTGAGCAAAGGCACATTTTTTTGTATTGATCACCAAGGAATGCTGTTGTAGAATCTGGAACGCAACTCTAAGGTGTTGCAAGTGAGTTAGCCTGTCACTGCTATAGACCAAGATGTCATCAAAAAAAACAAGGACAAACTTCCGTAAGTATTGCCTAAAAATGTCATTCATCAAAGACTGGAAAGTAGAGGGAGCATTTTTCAAACCGAAGGGCATGACCAGGAATTCATAATGGCCGTCATGTGTTCTAAAAGCTGTCTTCAACTCTTCTCCGGGCTTCATACGGATCTGGTGATAACCAGATTTCAAGTCTAATTTGGAAAATATCTGGGCTCCTCCTAGCTCGTCTAACAACTCTTCAATGGCCGGAATGGGGAACTTATCCTGGATGGTTATCTTATTTAAAGCTCTATAGTCAACACAGAAGCGCCAACTACCATCCTTCTTTTTTACCAGCAGCACCGGACTCGAAAAGGGGCTCTTACTGGGTCGAATGATTCCTGCTGACAACATTTCCTGTACTAGCCGTTCGATCTCTGCCTTTTGATGGTGAGGGTACCGATAAGGCCTCACATTAGGCGGTAGGGTCCCTGGCTGTAAGTCAATGGTATGATCTGCTGCTCGAGGTGGTGGTAACCCATTCAGGGGTCTTTGTACTGCAGGGAACTCCCCCAATAACTCCTTAACATCATCTTCTATTGGCGCCATTGAAATATCAGTAATCTTGAGTTCAGCGAATTCCACCCAAAAGGCGTCCTCATCCCCTCTAGTTGAACGATAAAGAGAATTGAACGACATGGGTGTTTGTTGTAAGGCCGGATTACCTCTCAGACAGACCCATTCATCTCCCATGTCAATTTTTAGTGTTGACCGTTTCCAGCTCACCAACACTTCGTCCAATGATGCTAACCAGTCAGCTCCCAAAATGATATCCGATCCACCAAGCTTAAACGGATATAAATGGTGAATGATATGGAGACCCTGAACCATGATCGAGACATCTCGGCACACACCCCGCCCTTGTACATGGCGTGAATCACCTACTTGCACAGTGAACGCGACGCGCTGATCGAGGGGGAGAGACAGGGAGTTGACCAGATCCTGATGGATAAAACTGTGAGTCGCTCCGCAATCAATGAGGATAAGCACCTCCTTACTCTGAACTGTCCCCATGAGCTTTATTGTCTTCCCACCGGTGAACCCTGCTAATGCATTCAAGGACAGGGACATCAATTGGCCCTCCGTCGCAACAACTTCATTTGGAGATGACTCCAATACTTCCGGGTTTCCGTGGTCAGTCAGTGGCGGGGAGACATCATCATTCTCGGTGTCCTCCGCTAATATCAATACCTGGAGTTGCTTCTTCTTGCAACGGTGACCCGGTTTAAACTTCTCGTCGCATTTGAAACAAAGGCCGAGCTCCCGTCTTCTCTCAATCTCCGCATCTGTAAATTTCTTCGGGACCATCTTATTAGTATGTGTGACCGGAATTGCTACCGCTTTGGAAGACTCAGCAGCCTTGGAGTCCGAATTCGAACCAGCTGAATACGAGGGGGACGATTTGAGGGGGTCCGTAGAAAAAGAGGTCCGAGTAGAAGCGATTCGCCCACCGCCGCCTTTATCATCGGCCCAGCTCCGCTGTGGCCCAAGCCCTCGCGTGTACGGTTGTTGGATCATAACCCAATTGCGCTCCTCCAGCCGTAACGCCATATCCATCAACTCAGCTAGGGAACTCAACTTCATCAAACGCAGATCCGCCTTGATTTCTACTCGGAGTCCATTGAAGAATGCAGCAATTAGAACTTCATCGTCGCAATGGTCAAGCGTCGCTGAAATCAACTCAAATCGCTCAATGTAGTCGGCCACCGAACGAGTTTGTCGTAACGCCATTAGCATCTCATACGTGTTGCCATACTGTGAGGGGTGGAATCGAAAGATCAGGTCCCGTTTAAGGTCCGGCCAGTTAGAAACCGGTGAGCGTGCTTCCTTCCATTGGAACCAATTTAAGGCCCGCCCCTCAAGACATAAAACTGCTGCATCCAGCTTGTCATTTTCTGGCACCCTATTGACCCGGAAGTAGCGTTCGATCTTAAAGATCCATCCCATAGGTTCCTCCCCTGAAAACAGAGGCATATCCAATTTTCGGTACGTCGATTGGTCAGCCTCACCATTCCCGCTCTTGTCTTTGACGTCTACAACTTGAGTCCCCACGTGGCTATTTTTCGGCACAGTGGAGTCCGGTGAGGATTGTTCCGTATTCCCTTGTCCCTTCTTCGATCGAAGTTCAGCTAGCACATCCTGAACCATTGATTTAAGAATCGTCATGTCATCGGTAAGTTGTGATACTCGTTCTTCATTCTGTGTCATCCGCGCATTCAAATCTTCCATCGTGCGAGTATGAACCATGCCCCGTCGTCACCGCTCTGATACCTTTGATGGAAATGACTCCGGTGATTTGTATTATTTACTGAAGAAAGTAACAATCCACAGGGTATAACCTAATGGATAGCACCCAGAAGGAAACCTGTAGCCTAGTGCATTCAAGAGCACCACACTCCTCTCAACATTCTCACCATTTGCATGCCCTCCTCAACGACCTCTCTGACAACAAATACCCCACATAACTAACTCCTAATTCACCTTTCCCCAATTACCCTCAGCTACGCACTTAACCCACTATCACATATTGGGCTTTTTCCTTACATATGTATACAACGGCCCGGGTTCAACAAATTGATTCTTCTTCTTCTTCTTTTAAATTTCAGTGCAATGGCTTGAAAAGGGGAGCAAGGCATTTGAACCAATATATTTATACACTATGGAGAAGGTATATTATTTTTCTCTAGGTATTTCAAGTTTAAATTAGTAAAGTCTCTAAACTTCAGTTGCCAATCATGTATAATATTCTGTAGGGGTATTTCTTGTTGCCCGATAGTGCCAAGTCTCGTCATAACATACACACTATGAACATGAGCATATCAGCTCGGCACCCCTGCTTTGGAAACAGGTTCATCTCTCTTAATCTATTTATATATTGTAGCACGATGTTCTGGTTAGTTTAAAGGACAGCTGTTTATCTTCATTGACAATTACAGTACTGTAGGCTTGTCACTGAGATTTGCAAATCTTTCGCTGATAAGAAAACTAGTACTATCATTTCTTGGTCTTTATAGCATTTATTGTTTCTAAATCTTTGCCATACATTCAAGTTGATTTATTATTTTTTATTATCACTTCCAGGTGGCAGCAGCTACTCATAAACAGAGTTGTTGGATATGATACCATTTTAATGAATAGTTTGTTAACTTCTTCAGGTCAAGGTAACCATCTTTTTTTCTGTAAAACCTTTGTATAGAATATAATCGTGTAAGTGTGTTAATTAATTCAGCTTAGAAATATGAAGTGAATATTCTGGTAGTTGATTTTTTTTTTTTTTTTTAAAAAAAGAACCTGTAGTTTTCCGAGAGAAAGAGGTGGAAAGTGAAGAAAGAAAATGGGAGAAAAATGATAGAGAAACATGGGTTTAATTGTCTGAAGTCATGCTATTTGGTTTTTCTGCCTCTTCTCATTATTATTATTATTGTTATTGTTATCATATTTTATTTGATTACTTGCTTCTAATATCATTTGCTAAATTTGCAAATAATTTAAGGAAATTATCATGATTTTGGTTATAAAATATGCCAATATCAAACAATTCATAGTTATCTATGCCAACCTGTCACAAGTTTGGAGATTCGTTTAGTAATCATGGCTAAATTGGTGTTGGGCTTTTTTCACAGGTTATCTGTATAATTATCAAACAAAGGAATTTTATAATCTTAGTTATGCACAAGCACCACCCGAAGGGCCTGCTAGATTTGGAGGTTTGTTGATTTATCTTTCTACTACTTCATGGAGCATTTTCCATAGAGAGGGATTGCATTAGTTGGTCAAAACTTCAATTCCGTTATTTTCCCTTCTTTACATCGTGACATCCTTTTGTTTATTAGGAAGCTAAAGTGGAAGTGGATGCTTAACTCCAATTTGTGCTGTCATGTTGTTATGATTATTGTGTTTAATATCTTTTCACTGCTATGTTTATTCAGCTATCATGTTGTTATGATTATGATGTTTAATATCTTTGCATTGCTAAGTTTATTCAGCTATCATGTTGTTATGATTGTTAGCTTTTAGGGTGTATCCTGAGAGACACCTCTTGTTCATTGTTTTGGAACTCATGTCATAATGTGCACGCTTTGTCTTTTTCCCAAGCAGACTACCTAGTAACCAAGTGTGGGGTGCTTATGATGTCCTTATTTGTATTTTTCACTACCACAATGTCCGTATCATTTACATTGAGAGAGACACAGACTCGCATGCTGAAGTTTACAGGTATGTGCTGTTTTTTCTGTGAAGAGATTATTTTTCATACTGTAAATACTGATTAGTGATTCCTGCTTGCATCTATTAGTTCATTTCGCCTATAGCCGTCTAGATTAATTGGTTGGCTTGATCTAAAACTTTTTACCTAAAATAAGCTTAGATAGATGGTCAGGGTTCTCAATGATTATTACCGCTGTGATTAGAAGATCTATCTTCAAGGTGATTCATTTCTATTTAAAAAAAAAAAAAAATTTAGAAGAAACTTTATTGAGTAAAATTTCTGCATGTAGTATGCTAACTAAAAGAAGAGTCTCCTTTGACATTCATCTAATGGTGCATAGTTTTCTATGGTCTGTGTCATTCTATTCTGCACATTGGGCCGACTGTTTACTTTTAAAAATCATTGCAGTCCAGCTTCAACGCCATGCTCAGCATCGCCTTCCAACATTTCAGCTGATCTTTGTACATGTGATTGAATCACTAGTCTTTGTACCTGTAAGCGTCCACCCTTGTTGGATTTTTTCAACATCATCTATAATAACTGCTTCAATATCGTGTTATTTCTCTTTATACTATCTTTACTGATAAGTTACTTGGTGAACTCTTGCAGATCATGATCGGTGTTTTGTTCTTTCTTTTCGAGTTTTATGATGATCAACTAATAGCTTTCACAGTCTTGATTCTTGTTTGGTTATGTGAACTATTTACTCTTGTTAGGTACAAAGTTTATATCCTGCCTGTTTTACTTCCCTGCATATTTGTATTGGACGTGTCATGATTTTATGTTCTGATATTACTGAACTTGTCATTACTTGCAGTGCCCGGACACCAATATCAATGAAGTTCTTTCCTCGCTTCTTTTTGATGTATTTTCTGGTCTTTCATATATATTTCTTCTCTTATCCTTATGGTACGATCACTCTACTTTTTCATATCTTTCATGTGGTTTAGTTGAAATTAATGTTAGCTGGAAATAATTTGTTTCTAAAATTTTTCCAGGGTTTTCATACTTGGCTCTATCTACAACTGCATGTTTTATGCTGCACCTTATTCTGTATTTTTGGAATCATTTCGAGGTGATATTTAATGGCTTATTTATGTTGAAAACGAAATATCTATTATAATATTATTACCTCCTAGAATCTTTCCTTCTGCCCATTATACTAAATGGCCATGCTTAACTGAATTGCATTGTATGTTTCAAGCTACCTGCGTTGCAAAGGTTTATGCTAAATCGACGATCACAACTCCAACAACACCCAGATTTCCACATCACCTCCTCTACGATCCTTGCATCAACATTGCACATCACAAGATTGAACACGAGGAACCAGGGAATTAATGCAGATTTGGCTTCTGGGGCCGGGTTGAGGCCTGTATTGGACCCATTAATGCATCAGAATAGAGCTGCTGAACCTCAGGGAAGGTCAGAAAATAATCCAGACAGGACAGCCGACCCTGTACCATTTCCTGGCCAGCCGGACCTTCAACAACCAGAAGCCGCTCCCAACCCTGGATCCATGAATTCATTCAGTTCTTTGTTGTTGTGGATCTTGGGAGGCTCTTCTGAGGGCCTCAACTCATTTTTTTCGATGTTCAGAGATGTGAGAGACCAAGAACAAGTTTTGTTGAACCCGCGCGTTAAAATCACTAGACTTGGATTCGTAGATGGCAACTGAACGATTTGACATCCCGAGGTGAAGAACTTCCTTGTACAGGAGTAATGTGAGCGATACAGGTGACTGGACCAAAGAAAAACAAAGTGTGAGAAACAAGTGTGTACAATATGTGGTCTATATATATATATATATATATATATATATATATATATATATATTGATTGGTGGACAAGGGCTGGTTTTACCAGGTTGAATTCCTGGGGACAACACATTCAAGCTCTTGGGTTCTCTATTCTCGTCTCCTCCCCTTAAACTCTACCCTCAAAGATGTCACAACTGGAATATGAAGCTGAGGAGTTGCACCTAATGGATTCGATTGGAGTTGTATGTAAAGTAGAACAAGAGTGAATCATCTTCATGGAGTTTTCTTCAACTCGTCTGTTTTACGTCACTTTCTAATCAATCTTTATTTGCTTGGCGGGTGACTGTATGTCATTACAATATATAATTTTTTTTTTCTATTACTAATATGACAATTTTTGTTGCAAGCGACGTTTGGCAGATCAATACTAGTCTAAGTTTAGCTACCAATCGGGCGCCTTTATTTATTTTAATTTAATTTAGTCTTTAAATTTTTCTTTGGTCTTCAACTTGTACCAGGTTTATCACTTGTTTCTTTTCTTTTGTCATTAAATATTTTGTCTCCCAAGATAAAATCAAACAAAAATGAAAGGGGGACCAGATTAAGAACAATAAAATGTCAAGGGACCAATAATAATACTTCAGGTGCCAAGTGCACTGTTACTCAAATCTAATTAGAAGTAAATGGACGGGTGTAATTATCAAGTGGTTCATAAAAGAAAGAGTCTTGTGAAACATATATTATGGTCCCCACCAACCTCTGCTGAGCACGATTTGAGAAGCAAAAAGCTTGGCCAAGTTGCTTTTCCAATTGTAATTAAAATCAGTTTTTAATCCACAAGTCAGATGTGCCTAAAGCTTATCCAAACAGGACAATAAATTTCCAGTCGTACTTAAAGGTGAAAAGCGACAGGTTCATGCTCCAAACATGATGCCAAACGGATCCTATATGAATTACACGGTGATGTGAATGAAGTGAATTATTAGTGTACATGATAGCCACACTTTTTACATAACACGTCACACAAGTACATGTATTTTCTTTTAAAGATATATTTATTTTTTGCTAGATCTTTTAAACGCGTATTAACTAATTTACTACAATCAAGTACTACCTCCGGTCCTAATTATAAGACTTTATTTATAGACTATGAACAAGGTCTTATAATTAGAACATGAGGTACTATAATATAACACAGCATCATATGAATATCATGATTTATTTTTAGTTTTATATTTCTACAAAGTTGTTAACTTAGATGATAAGAGTTAGATGATATGTAATCAGATGATCTGTAATGATCATCATTTTAAAAGTTACAATAACGAATACGATTACTTTACAAAAATTGACCAAGTACCTTGATTTTATTTTCCATGTACCTCAAATACCATAATCTTATTTATAGTGCATCCATTGCTTTGATATTATATTTTTAGTGCATCTAGCACCCCTGATATTATTTTTCAATTAAATAAAATTAAGGTGCTACAAATAAGATTAGAGTGCTACAAAGTACTTAAAAGAAAATATTAGAATACTAGATGCAGCTGGAAAATAATATCAAAATGTTAGATGCTATGTTAATTTTAATGATGCCATTTTATTGAGTGGGTCTCCATTTATTACACAAAATTGAATAAATGAGTACATTCTTCTCAACTTGTGAACACCTAAACTTTCCATAAATTTTACATTTAATAGTACGTAAGTAATATTGACATTTTAGATAATATTCAAGATCACGATATACCGAACAAATCTTATTATACTATGGAATGTAGACAAATTTATGTAGCTGAAGGCCTATTCTGACAAAAAAAAAAAAAAGAGATCAAAAGCCAATCACACAGTTGGAAAAAGTATTGTCATTAACTACAATCCTTTAGATAAGTAACAGCTTCTTCCTTTTGTTCATCACTTAATTCTCTGGGGAAGTTGATGATATACTTAATGTGGAGGTCGCCTCTTTTTCCATCTTCTTGTTTGGGATTAGGCATTCCTTTACCCTCAATGACCTTTTGATATCCAGGGTATATGACAGTATCCTCAAATGACATAGTCATGGTTTCTCCTCCTATCAAAGGAACTTGAATGGAGCAACCTGTGAGAGCACTTACCAGAGGAATATCAATTGTTACTTCCAAGTTGTCACCATCTCTGGTGAAGAAACGATGGTCCTTTTCATCAATCAAGAAGACTACATCAGCAGGAAGGTATCCAGGTTTCTCATCGCCTTTTCCCTCAAACGTAATCTTTGTTCCTTTTCTCCATCCTGGTTTTACTTCAATCTTTAGTATTTCCTCCTCTTGCGCAATGATCCTGTCACAAAATCAAGCTAAGGTGTCATTCTAAGCACATGCATGAACTTACAGTTTTCCCTTTCCTTCTCTAAGAATATTGCGTTTATGTTTTTACGTATAATTAATCAATTATTCATAATATCCTATACCCCTGTTTCACATGAATGATGAATCTCCAAATTGTCATTGTTGGAAATTTCAAGCTACAGCAGTTTCAGCAACCTAGGAAATTTCTAGGCAGCCACCAAAAGCATTTCCCCCAAATTGTCATTGCTCATAATTGCAAAGCTGAAATCTTCAATCAATATTCCAAATGTACCTAAATTTCCATAGTGTTTATGTTTGTGAATGTCAAATCACACCATCTGTTTCAGCAGCCTAAGAAATTTTTCTTCTTAACATGATGGGAACTTGCCCTAAAATAGCATGCACACAAGCATAATAGAACATCACTTTTTTCGCCTTCCAGATTGTCATTGACCATCATTGCAACCCTGAAATCGGTTAAAACCTAACCTAGACACGACAAAATGCAAGTTCAAGTATCAATGTATAATTTTAAACTTTAGTTGTTATCTTATGTCTTATATAAGTCTAAGATAAACAGGAATCCTTTTACAGAGTGTCCAAGGAAATCACAACAACAGAAACATACCCGGGATGCCTGATAACATCTTTAGTAATTTTGATCTTTTTGACTGATCCAAAGCACAAGTCCTCAAGAGTGCACTCAAGTTTCATCTCAACTGGCGGGGGTTTTCGCCTCACTATTGATTGTGAGTATATGATTGATGTCGTCGACCTTCCACTGGTGCTCCTAGACAGAGATGCTGAACCCCCCTCTTTTAATGGGGAGGCTGAAAGCTTTGGAGTTTGAGGCTCAGAGATGCATTTGCTGCTCATTTGTCCTGATGGAGAAGCCAAAGGGCTCGTTGATGTGGTGGCAGAGGCCCTTCTTCTGCTCATAATTCTTGATAGTGTCGAAGCTTCTATATCAGAATCAGAGTTTGTTCTAATGCTCAAATTTCTTGAGAAAGGTGTAGGTGTTGTGCATCTCCTGCTTGGATCTCTGGACAATTGATTTATACTTGGTGTTGGCGTTTTGGATCTTTTACTTGCAGTTTTCTTGAAGAACCTATTTTCTTCCACTCCTTTTCCTTTATGATGATCATCCACCTCATGACTTGGAACTGTCATTGGCTATATATTATATCAAACACAATAAGAAAATCCCATGAAGATTTCAAACACTATAGAGAAGAGAAGGGAAAGAAAGAACTTGCGAAGAAAACAACTCCGTCAACTCAACCGGGTGACATTGTTCAGTCCGAATCATTTGTAGCCACTAAAGTGATCGCATATATCACATTCAGAGAGATTAATATTAAAAATATACGGGTAAAGAAAGAAATTAGACCTCATATACAATCACACATATTTGTATATGTAGGGAATCATTCATGAATAAGAAATGCAAAAAGAAGACAACGATATTTTAGTGTTTTAACAGAATATGCGTTATTGAATCACAGTTTTCCAAAATATACTACTGTTCGATCATATACAAATTGAAATAATGCATTAGGAATTGATACAAACACGTATCAAACACAATGCAGCATGCAAAAACATGAAAATGCACTGAATTAAGAACGGTTTGCAGCAACAATTAAGGTGATTCATATGTCTTTTCCCAAATGTTCAGCAAGAACAACGACTCAAAATGCTGAAATAGGAGAGGTTAATTACTTACGTCGGAGGCTATGTGTTTGCTGAAACTCTTATTGTCGCGGCGTTTTTTCCTAACGAGCGATTTGCATATCTCTTTGAACGATGGTTTTTTACGGATCCAATCACCCATTGCATGAGAGATCACGGGGAGAGAGAACGGAAGATGAGTCAAAAACCCAGGCAACAATTTGTTTGGCCGCCCAAGAAATTGCTAGCTGGGATCAAATATGAAGGAAATCGAGCTGTGATGTTAGCTTTGTGTCCCTATAGAATTTACTAGTTTGTTCAACACAAAATTTTGATCACAATATGAGCATGTTACTATGTTCCAACAAAACATTAATTTATTAGTACGTATACTTTGCATTAATTTTCAAAAGGTTAATACAGTTTTGCTGCCTTAAATTTGTATTCATTTTGGTTTTAGTCTCTTAAATTTCAAACTATAAGTTTCAGTCCTTTAATAGGCAAAATAAGACAGGTTTTTTATTAAATTATATTTTGGACAGAAAGAAATTTGAGTAACAAAAACTAAAATAAAAACAAACTTAAATGGACCAAAAATTGCACTAATTCATTTTTAAATGTTTTAAAAAATGTGACTTTTTATAGTCTATATATATATACATGTTAAAAAAAATGAAACATAAATTTCATTTAAAAAAAGCGTAGAACTATATATAAATAATTTTATTTTAAGAAAATACTCCTCCGGTCCTTAATATTGGACTCAATTATTGAGTTGGTTTTGGTCCTAAATATAAGACTCATTTCTCATATTTATCAATTTTCTCTAAATTACCCCTATGGATACTCCCTCAACCACAATCAAGTAGAAGAGGAAGAGGGGGTATTAAGAAAGATGATTATGGTATTTTAGGAAAAACGTGTCACATTTCTTATAATTAACTAACTTATCTAATTTTCTTAATCTAATCAAATTAGTTAAATGGGTCTTATATTAAGGACTGGAGGAGTAATAAGGAATATTATTTATATGCAAAGAGACAGTTTTAGTAACAAATTGAAAAACATTATGAAATATCTATACCCAATGTTAGAAAAAGTAAACTACTACATCCGATCCTAATTATAAGAGCCAGTTGACTAATTTGAGGATATTAAAAAAGTAATTGAGTTAGTTATTTGTTCTAAATATGTGTGTTTTTCCTAAAATATCCTTACTAATCAATGTATTGACTAGAACTATCATTGTTAGAAGGACTACTTTGAAAAAAAAAATATAAATATAAGAGACAAACTGGATGGGGTCTTATATTTAGGATCAAAATAAAACTCAAATAGAGTTTTATATTAAGGATCAGAGGTAGTATAATTTTAATTAAAAGTAAAACATGAGAAGTGTAGTAGGAAAATGCTACGATGCTTCGGAAGTGGAATTTTTGGAGGAGAAACATAATTACAGAGACCACAGTCAGTCGTCCACCTCTCCACGTTGACTTCCTTTTTTGACCCCGGCTCTATTTACATATAAGTATACTTCTCAATTATATTTGCTGTCCTAATTTTGTTTATGATATATCCAATATAATCATATTATTTTTTTGATTCATCTATTGCATTCAACACCCTAAATGATAAATAAAATTAAGATGATGAATGTAATTAAAAAAAAATAACATCAAGAGTACTATTGGTTGCTATAAAAAAAAATACTTTACCTTTTAAACCTTATAAATAAATGTACAATCATATTTATCAATTTGATCAAAATCAGCATAAAAGCCCTCCTCAGTCCTTATTTTCCAAATTTTTTATAATAAAAAAACTCGTTTATTTAAAGTACTATCTCCACTCTTAATTATAAAACATCATTTGTAATCTATAAATAAAGTTTTATAATTAAAATAAGAGGTAATAATAGATAATGCAAATTTTGGCACATGGGATACAATTTATTTTTCTAGAAAGAATAAAGTTAAGACTATTCATGATGTATTAATTATTACCAACCGGTAGACTTGCGGTTTATTAACTTAAAGCATGACTCAAACATTAAATTTAATAATAATTTTAAAAGTAAAAGTCAATAATATAGAATAAATTGAAAAGACGAAAACAAAAGGAAAAAAACAATAATTAGTGGTGCTTGGAGAAAGGACAAGAAAAATGGTAGCTTGTGGAATGGAATGGGACGTCAAAAATATCTTAAAAGACAAAATATTAATATTTCATAATTTCATTGTCGCTATTACCATTCCAACTTGTGTACTGAGAAAGTCAGAGCATCATACTTTAACTTTAGCAAGGAATCACGTTTGTAGCCAGCCGCCCCGCGCATGTGCCCACGCTCGCAAAAGCGCGTGCACAACTTACTTTCTACGCTCAATTGCTCATAATAATACGCAGAATTCGATTTTTATTTTTTTAAAAAAAATTAAATGAAGTTTAAATTAAATTTTGATGAGCTTATGACGACGAAATGAGAGGGTCATCAATAGGACTGTGTTATAATTTCACCACCGATTTCATTTGTCACGATCTCAGCAGTTGTCATGTTTTGTTTTGTGAAATTTTTTTTTATTATTAAGAGAAGTTTGGACAAAAATTAAATTAAATTAAGGTCTTAAAAGTAATTTTATGATATATAAAATAAATATGTAAAAGAGTTTTTGTTTCTTATTTTTTTGTTTCACTCAAACACTCCCAGGTTGATGTCTGATATGTGTTTAGCTGTTTAAAAAACATTTTTTTAGTTTGATTTTTAAAGATATCTGACAGTAGATTATTTGGAGTTGCTCAATCCTTTCATGTCTAATTGTTGCCTAATTTTCAAGCTTTGAATTTGCCCTTATAACTCAAAAAAAATGTATCTTTTCAAAAAATATTCCATTCAAAGAGTATTTGGTTAATCAAAAAAGCATTTTTTAAAATATTTTTACATATTTTGAGATAAATTTTTTTTATATATTTATTTCGTATACTATAAAATCACTTTTAAAACTATAATTTTTTAGTAGTAAAAGAAATCTCACTTTTTTTTATGTATTTGTGATAAAATCATTTGATTTTGTTTGACCTCCAAGCATCACAAAATAATAACTCATGCATCATATATAAGCCAAAATTTCACATCATGCTATCTTTCACAGGCTAAATACATCATATGTATCTCCACAATTTATACATCATAAACATTAATAATAACTAGTGCGTTTTATATATTTACACGATTTGAGATTAATTATATTTTTTCCCTAAATTATGAGGAGTTTTGAATCCTACATATGTCAATCTTCGCTAAAATTAAGCAAATTAGTACTCCTACCCGTCTTTTTGATAAGATATGAATAATCAAATTATGTAAATTGAAAAATTGCTTAAAATTGATTAAAGATAATAAATATATGAGGAATATATATTTTTTAAATATTATTATTATAAGAGGGAGAGAAATAAATATTATCTCTAGTTCTAATGTAGAAGCAAGACAAAATATTTTCTTTGATCCTAAATATTAAATATTAATCTTTTTTCCCCTCAAATTATAACTTTTCTCAAAATGTTTCTAATTTCCTATTGATTATACATAGTTTAGACTTTAGACTTTAGAGGTAGTCCTACTGCATATTATTAGAAAGGTATTCTAGGAAAAAGAATACAGTTTTATTATAAATAATTAATTTAATTAATTTTTTTTGCTATATGCAAATCATTTATCTATCTCTCATATTAAGAATAAGAAGAAATAGCCAAAAAAATATTTGAATTAATGCAATATATATAATCAATTAGAAATATAAAAATGAATCAAATGTTTAAACATCTCCAAAAACTGTAATTTATAAAAAGCACCATACACATTCATGGGTTTTAGATATGGAATCTTGTAAATAGATATGAATTGGTCATAAATACAAGGAGAAATAGGTTTTTCCACTGGCCATTTATTGCATTTTCATTCATTTCTCATACCAACTATTAAGATTGCAATTTCAACAGTTCATATCTCACATTATATAAAATAATTTTGTAAACTTTTTTTTTTATTTTTAAATTATAATGACAAAATTTAGTAGTTTAAATCTATTTTTTTTTTTAAAAAAATATAACATTTTATTTATCATTTTTTCCAATCCCATCCTTATTAATTTAATAGTTCTTTCTGCTCTTATTATTCCAATCCCAAAGACCTTGAACACTAGACTTCATCCCATAGAGAGAGAAAGATCCAGTCAAATGTTCATATTTGATACGATACTCTCATTAAATTAAGAATATTTTAAAAAAATATAATACCAATCTAATTATTTTTTTAAAGAGAAGGAATTAATTCTTTGGGCCAGATGTTCAAATATTAACATGCATCGTTATTAGTTTCTCTTCACAAAAGTGACTTTAATTTAACTAGAAAAGTTGATTTAGGTTAGGAATTTAACAATAATGTAGGCCCCATGTGCCGTTTGATTTACCATTCTAGAATTTTTAATTATCATAGTATTGAA